CCTGCTTCATGAAGTGACTATCTTCTGATATATTCACTCTGTCAGATGCTTTTAAAATTATTTTGAATAGCACAAAAATTAAGAAGAGAGTCCTACCAGGATTTTTTGTTAACTTTACCCAGATACTAAGATCGTAGTCTTATTTCTTTTTTTGCATTGTGATCAGATAAAATCTTTGTTGTTTTATTTTCTCTACTCCACATGTTATAAAGCACTGGGTTTTCTTCTTCCTAAGCAAGATTTTAGTACCAAAAAGGACAGCACACATGTTTTAATCCTGTCACTTAGTATGATAAATAATCCATATGTTTTTCATTTTTCTGTGGATCACCCACTTTATCCTGTTATTTGAATTTATGAGAGAATTTTTGTAATCTTCGTATTATGTACCATAACCCAGCACCACACCTATTCCAATTTGATAGAAATATTAATAGTTTAATCTTTCCAAGGACTCTTGTGTACATGTGTGTCAAAATATGCTTTTCTCGTCTCTAAGATACAACTTTTCTGTTTGTAATTAGTAAAGAGCAGTAATATTAGTTTGTTATGCTTATGTAGGTATCATTTCAATACCAGAAGAATTGGAGCAAAACTCTTTAACTTGCTGTAAATTAATGAAAATAACTTTACCTTCAAAATATTATTGTCTTATCTTGTTTGAGTTGTAGCAATTTATCAAGTGATTTGTCTATTGTCAGTAACTCAGTGGTTGGAACTGAAAGGATTCCATATGGGCCTGGACTGACTGTCATTCATCTTTCAGAACTAGAACCTAAAATTACATAACTGGGGAAAGCATCTTAAGTATCTTCATGAATTTCCCCTTAATATTTCTATTTTAAAACTTTCTTTACCTTGTTGTGCAATAATGCAGTTTAATCAATATTAGTGAAAGCTTTAAGTTTAGGAAACCTAAAGTAAGGAAGTAATGCACAGTAGCACAGTTAGTAGAAATTGCTCTTCATTTGGATGTTGAACTGCTGTGGATCAGTATAAAATATTCAGATACATATGTAGAAAACAAACTAGCATCTAAGTGCTAAAGGAATTTTAATTCTTTAGTTAGTTTTACTTGATTTATACTTCAAAACTGAAGTTCTTCTTCTGTATTTAGCTGTGAAAAGCAGTTTCATAAATGTGTGAATCTGTGAATCAACTTTATTACTGCCATCCTGTGAGCACAAACACTATTACTATTTATTTTTAACACAGGCAATCACAAATTCGAGTTGAACTTCCAGAGCTTGAACTTGAAGATGGTGATAGGATTTACCCTTTTTCTGTACAGTTCCCAGAAGGACAAGATATTGTTCTTTCATCAGATGGCACAAATAAGGAACTCATTTGTCATATCAGCTTCAAATCATCTAGGCCAGTGTCATTTTTAGGGAATATGTTCTTCACTGATGAAGAAGAAAACAGGTAATGTGTACAATTCAAATTCATTTGGGGGCAGGGTCCAAACTGATTAAGTTGGATACAAGACACACAGCTCATAATGGTTGGGTAAAGGCACACAAGAATCATTCTGAAAAAGATGAAAATGAAACATAGAAATGTATTTCTCTTTTCAACTGAATAGCAATTGGAAAACACAAAATTCAGCTCTGATCTCTAAGGTAAGATTCATCAAAGTGGCCATCTTAAGGTCTTGCGTCTCATTCATATCTACTGGTAATTCTTATGTCTACTTCAATCTTCTCAGATTGCTTTGGAGGGACATGGTCTTGAATCAGCAAGTCCTAATGTTTTCTATTACAAAATATTTTGCTCTTTGAAAAATACCCTATTAAAATTTTACAGTCCTTTCCATACTGAATTTTAAGGTGGTCTGATTTTGGGTTGAGCCAAACTTTGTGAAATTTCATTCCACTGAGCCTTTATCCTACGTTTAATTTTTTAAAACAATGAAATGTTTGTGACTGGTTTAGAGTCTCTTTTTGGGCTTTATCCTAATGGCATCCGGAAGAGCTGGTGGTTCTTATCACCTATTTGCAAATCTTTACAAAGTTGCAATGGAGTGATCTTGCAAAGGATTACTCCATTTTCAGTCCTCTCAAAAGCCTCAGGTGTTCCTCTGGTACCCAAGAATTTGAGAAGCGACATCTTCAGAGTGAAGATAGGGAGAATTCTCAAGGGGGAATTACACTGGAAGTCAGAATTTCATTTTGCTAGGAACCAGCAAAGAACGTGTCCCAGTCTTATTTTAAAGGGATATCCCTCCCTTCCTCTCTCAGTGTATGTCATTCTTCAGTCTTTTGCTCTCCATGTTGTCTGTCTTTTTTTTCCCCTGCACTCTACTACTACCTAATTTTTTGTGTGTGTGTCCCTCCTTTCTTTGGTGTTTTTAATTATTTTTTTTATATGTCACTTTTAACTCATCTTCTATTGTTATATCTTAAGCCTTCATTTTTCCTTCTCTGGTTTTATGTTCTCTGCTTTTAAGATTTTTAGAGCAGGACAGTCTATTATGAGTTTGTATACTCCAAGCTGAGGCATTTCTTGATCTCTAGTTGTTCCTGCAATATCTGTCATACTGTTACTCAGTTAGCTTATTAGGAATCTGGAGGCTACTGTCCATACCAAAGATCAATATGGAATCCTTCAGGTGGAAGAGTGTGGGTTGGTTTGGTTTTCTTTTCTTTTGGTTTGGGGGGGTTTTGTGTGAGTGTTTGTTGTTTGTTTGTTTGTTTTTCTTTTTTATTTTACTTGTCTTTTGTGTTGGTTTTGGATTTTTTGTGTGGTTTTTTTTTTTGCTACGGAGAAAGAAAACTGCATATGTGTGTTTCAAGACAGGACTTGGGAACTTTTAAGTGGTTAATATATTAATGCTTCTGTCAATTTTTTTTTTTTTTAAATTTGCAAGGTGCAGGGCAGTATCTTTGAGTAGCTCTATAGGGAAGCAGTTGATTCATGAATAAAAAGGAGGCTGACTCTTGATCTTGGTGAAGGCGTTCTCTGGGGCATAAGATAAAAAGGAATCATGTTAACAGCCAGGTGACACAGGGCTGCATGGATTGATGTTGCTCATCCGTATCAGTGCAGTTCACTGTTTACAGATTCTAAAATATGTATATATATACACATATATATGTGTGGGTGTTTTTTGTGTGTGTGTGTGTAAAGCTAGGAATTCATAAAAGTGTGCTAGGGATATATTTCAGCTTCAGACCATACTTCCTGTATGAAAAGTATATGGGATACTGTTACTTTCTCATATACTTCTGATATATGAGACACAGGACTGGATAGCAAAGTACAGAAAACTGTTGGTGTCTTCTCCCTCCCTCTGTGCGTGGCTCTCCAGTATTTTCTGCACTGCCTTAGAGGGACTTTCTGGACAGCGGCATCAGCAGAAGCGGGCACTATCAGACAGAAGGGGGTAAGGGACAGATGTGCTTTACATTGTTATTTATCTATTTATATATTTCCTCAAATGCAATCCTGTGCACTACATCAGCAAGCATTTGAAGTTTTCAAAAGTACTGAAATTATGTGGGAATGTAAGCTCTACATCTGAAAAATACTTAAGAATTTATGTGGTCTAATTCCTGTTAGACCTAAATTATTTTAGAACAGAACACCTACAGTTTGACAGCAATTTATATGCAGTGTTCATACCAAAATTCATCTCTTTAAAACACTGTTTAGTGATGAAGACATATACAAACATGAAATTCATACATCTTATTTTGATTTTAAAGCAGTAGGCTGTTTTTTAAGTAACTTTAATGGTGAAAAGCAATGCAGAAGGTCTCCCCTGCCCCTAGTAAATGGAGATCAAATTTGTTACTAAATGTTCTGTGCAAAAAATAACTGTTATCAGCATTTGTCCCTTTTGTTTCTCTCTCCCCTTGGTGGGATGAATGGGTGTATGCATGAGGGGGAAAGATGTTGTAATTAGAACTCATTCCTGCAGTTAATATTTTCAGTAAAGCAACTATTTTGAGGGTTAAATATCTCCACCCTACAGCTTACAATGGGCTTTTTCCTAAGCATAAAACTAAACTTTGTATTATTTTGATGCAAGGTTTATGAACCTTTCAGTTATTGCTGCCCACATTGGATTAGTATTTTATATTTTTCTGTATAGATTGTCAGCCAAGAATCCATTTCTTATTCATTTTATTTAATTCTAAGATTTAATCATTGTGTGGGATGTGATTCAGAAATGTGTGCTAAAACTTGCAGTAATTATGAGAAAAGGATAATTTAAGCTTATGATGAGGTCTGAAATATAGCTGCTGAGCAGGCACAATATTTAGTTTTAATAACTGTTTTTATATGATGCACTAGCAGCTTCTCAAACCTTGTTATACAGAAATAATCCTGTCTGATGTGTAATAAACTTTTTTCTATATTTGCCATTAAAATGAAATAAAGGATACCATCCTCAATTTAAAGGCAAACTCAATATGTTTTTCAAAAAGAGATACCAAATAAAAGTCATCACCTTAAAAGGCATCCCTGCTCGTGAAGGTGAAAAAAATCATGCTCAGGAATGTCAAATCATCTTAAAATTTCTGCTGTATTTTAAAACATAGTAGATAGGTATTTGTTAAAGGACAGAACTAATAACATGGGTTTGCCAATGTGTATGTGATTTCCTGTCAGGGAGTCGCATGGGTGCGTGGGCTGTAGGAGCAGATGTAAAACCTGAACACAACTGAATGAAATAGCACACCATCCAAAACAAAGGGATTCTGTGTGTGCTATTAGTCAGTGTAGTAGTAATATTCATATTGGCTTTTGGAAGAAATTATTTTTATCATAACCAGGAAGAATTCTTTCCTGTCTAAGTAAGTGCCCAATTCTCTAATCCTGAGCATATCGTTGTTATTCTAATGAAGTCTATGATAATTTATCCAGACTTGGATTTCGTTACTACTGTTAATATTACTATGTGCTTTGATATTCCACTTTGTAGTCATCTGTAGCTGCAATTTCTTGTTCTCTGCATATCTACCCTCATTCTTCCTAACCCCGCCACATGGGAGACCTATGCAATGCGTTCAAACTTCAAACCTGATTCAACTAATTATCTAAGCATTTTAGCGGTTTGTTTCAAACTGTGTAACTAATGAATATAAACTGCTTTGTTAATTTGAGTCTTTTAAGAAGACAAGATTTCAGGGCTTTCTAGATCTTTAATAATAAAACAATGAAACCTATAACCTTTTATAACACCTATAAAAGCTAACTGGTCTTGAATAGGTTCCTGGCTTGTTTAATAGGCCGTGAAATCTCACAGTATCAGTTGCTGAAGATGTGTTAATTCGTCAGGTATTCTCTCTTTATATTTCCATTTTCAAAGTAATAATATGTATTTTTTTAATGATTTGAACTAAAACTTTCAACTTCAACTCATATTCTGTGTGCTGGGATGGAATTAAAATAAGTGAGTTAAAAAGTTATTTTCATATGTTGGTAAAATATCATGTCCTGTATTTAACTACTTAGAAGAGGAGCCTTCTCAGCAAAACTAATTCTAGGCATATCTCAAACCATGAGTATTAATGAGACAAATACTCTGTTTTGGTCATTTTTTACTTAGGCTCTGCAGTGTTTTGCTTTTCTAAATTCAGGTCTAAAACTTCAGTAGGATTGATTCGTATGGTCCATATTAAGTCCACCTAAATAATAATATTTTTTTTCTTTAAATCAGAGTGAATATTGGATAGAGTACAGATATTGTTGAATATGGCTACTTTACAGAAAACATTTGAAAAACGATAGGCAATCATGTTTCATAGTAAAACCATGCTATATATAGCTGTAGAAGAAAACTGAAGAGATATATGGTTGTCATTTATGCAAGTAACTTACTGTGTGCACAGATTCCATTAAATTGATCATAAGAAAGCACATTAATATTTATTAAATGACTGCCTTAAATGAGAATTTGCAGTTAATTTCTAATGTTATTTTTAATCTCTCTTCTCCCTTTTTTCTCCTTTGACTCCAGAGGAGAATAAATGACATTTCCTTGCATAGGGCTGATAGGAATGCAGAAGTAAAAGATAACATAAAATCCAAGAATGTCTTGAGCAAATATTTAATAAATGGGAAGAAATATTTAGCTATGACACTTATTTCTTTCAACTTGAAAAACTGAACCAAGAAAAGCCTCTGTGTACATGGCATGTTTATATATTTGTCCTCTAATTGTTATTACATCTTTTAATTTGCTGATTAGATAAATTATTTAGCAGGAAAGAAAGTTTTCTGCCATCCTAATTGAAATAACATTTAACTTATTCTTTCTAAAAACTAAGTAATAAACAACAGATACATGTTGTGTAATACAATCAAAGGAAATGGTGCTCTGGGCAGCAAAATATCCAAACCCCCCCCCCCACGTGTGGTGGGTAGATAAATTGTTGTGATCATTGATGACACAAATGTGCTGAGGTCCTTGCCTCCCATGTTCTACAGTTCTCCGTTTTCTTTTCCTCTCCCACTGGGAAGCTGGGGCAACTCATGCAATTTCTGATGTTACTCATGTTCATGGCTGGAGCTTCAGGAAAAGAGGATGTCGGGAATCTTAGCCTCTAATAACAACATGATGCAGCTGAGACACAATCACTAAAAGGTACCCAGTTATGAATCGGTTCCAGTTGTTTTGACAGTACATGAGATCTCAGTGTCTCATGGAGGGAAACAGTACATTCCCTTTTGCTGTTGGGAAATGTGCCTAAACCATGTAGCTCTTTAATAGACCCTCCTGGCAAATGTCAAATGCATGTATTCTGCTGGCATGCTTTAGAGAATAAGAGCTGTCAATTTCTTTCAATATTGTTTAAATTCAGAGAGAGAAGGGAGCTAGAAAAAGTTGTAGTTCTTGATATTTGCATGCTCGTTGCTTCATTCATCTGACCTAATAATATATTGGCATTTTACATCAGATAGTTGGAAGTGTTTTTGAAAACTAGGATGGTCCACACCCATTAATTACTCCTGTTCTTTTCTGTGCTTGTGGCTTTCTGCCATTTTGACGGTCCCTGCCAGCTGAAGCGTCTGTTATTCAGGAACTAAGAACTGACATTGTTGCTGCTACTGGAAAAGGCACGGCTACTTTCCTAGCGATAAGTCTTGTAAATTGTGTGAAACCATGTCTCTGTCATTATTCATTATTGTATTATTTTGATTGCTGTGGAAGCCTGACCTCCTGCTACAAAGGATAAGGGCTTCTCAGTGTTGGGGAACGGCTCATTTGTGAACAGAAATGGCAGAGTTTGCATGGGTCATCTTTTCCTCTCCCTTCCAGTTCTGTCATCTCTGGATCTGTTCAAGGTTTTTTGGGGGGAGGGAGGAGGGCAGGTCTTTATTTATTTTTGAATTCCAACTTCTTGTTCCCTGTGTCTGGGTTATTCATTTTTCTTAAAGATCTGTAAAATGCCTCGCGCTCATGTCAAGTTTCCTTTTGGCACTAATCAATTCTGCAAGCAGTTTGTTTTGTTTCCTAAAGTAGCAGTGTAAGCTTCCCTTAATTTTTTTTTTTTAATTTACACAAGCAATGTTGCTAGAGAAATTTGTCAGTTAGATCCTAATGGCTTTGGATTCTTTCTCTTTAGAACTTGTTAGTGATATTTTGCATGTTAATGAATACTGTTGATGAAAGGTTATTTAACTACACCTGTATTTCTACGGCATTTGGGGTACACTGATACAAAAGAAATCACTTGTTCCTACTCACAAAAAGTCTGAAATGCTACAGAGCAAAATAAAAAGGATAAACATATATTTTGATCTAGGTTCTTTTGTCTTTCCACAAACATTAAAACAAACAAGTGAAAAAAAAATCAGAGATCATTTAAGAGAAGTGAATGAACTGCTTTTATATAGAGTGTTGGATGGTACTTTTTTGTCATCACAGTTGGAGCTTTAGTTTTTGGTCATCAGCAAGTTTCAAATGTTGGTAAACACAATATATTTAATGACCATCCTCCTGTTCTGTGTTCTTTGGAAATATGCATTAGAGAATAAACACTGAAATAGCAGTGGCAGTGATGGTTCATGTAGATAACAAATTTTGTACTTGCTTTATTAAGCATTATAAAACTGAATACACTGAATAATTTAACATATTTAGTAACTTCACATTTGCTAGCAATACAGGTACCTTTCATTCTAATAGAATAACATAGACTTTTATATTATTTAGTTAAGCTCTGCTGCAAATACAGAACAAATATGTTGCACAAGACTTACAGCTTTGTAACCTCACTTAATGAATGGTGTTATAAATAAAGGTCAGTATTTATACACATACATAAGATCCCTCTGAGCCTTCTCTTCTACAGGCTGAACACTTGCAATTCTCAATCTCTCCCCTTATGGCAGGTTCTTCAGTCCCTTCTTCATCCTTGTGGCTCTTCACTGGCCAAAGTCTGCTCTTCTGAATTCAGGGTTGTGATATGGCTTTCTGCCTTGTTTCCTCCTTTTGGAATCCTGAACTCCACCATCTCATGGTCACTGCAGCCATGGTAGATCCATGGTCACAGGAGGTCACAGGTCCTTGCTGTCAATATCACCTGCAGAATCAGCTGTTGACTTGCAGGATCCATCCACTTATCCTCAAGCTTTTTTCCCTCACAGCATGATGGAAAAGAAGACCACCTGTGCCCCATTACCTTGATCATTGCCCCCAAAGCTGTGCAGTCATGCCTGATATGTTCCAGGTCTCCCCATCAACTTCACTGGTGTCCATATGGAAGAGCAGCGGGCCCAAGGGTTGGACAAGCTGCATTGGTCTCTCAACATCATCCTGGATCAAAGCTCCAAGCAGGCAGCAAACCTCCTTAGATAATGGGTCAGGCTGTCAAACGAGATTCTCTGTCCCCTGCAGCAGGGATTTACTCACTACTATCACTTGCAGTTTCCTGGTGTTGCTTCATAGCTCATGTTTGGGCAGCGCAGGTGCTTCATTGTCCAGTCTTTTTTCATCTTATGAGAAATCTGAAGCTTTGAAATTTCTTAGTTAAGAATATATTTGCATTGCATTTGCTATTGGCTAGGTGTATTAATTTCTCTTACTATAATACCACAGCAGCCAAGGAGGCATGCCCTTGTTGGATTGTTAGCAGCATGGAACAGGGAGGAGCTTCTCTTGCAGCAGCACTGTGAGGTCCAAGGCGTTTATTTGTACACAGATGTTCTGTAGTGATGGCTGTTCTTTATGTTCTAGATTATGCAGTAGTATCTTTGCTTTGAGTAGTATCAGTTACTGAATTTGGGTAACTAGTTAAGATGTACTGCAGCTGTTCTCAAGCACACTTTTCTGAGTTTCATTACTGAGCAAATCAGAGCATGAATGAAGATTTGGCATATGCCCAAATCTCAAATCAGCATTGAGGATGGAGATGGCTGAGGTGCTCACCTCAAACTGAGAACTCAGAAAGTTGACTGAGTCCAGTAATACAGACATCCGAGTTACTTTCATATAGCTTGAGAGCTATGTCTTTCATTGACCTTCATATAGCTTTCTTCCATCCCTGCCCACAATTCTGTTGTCTGAAGTTAACTTAACTTATGCCTGCAGAGTATTGAGAATTGTTGTTTACCACAGTACAGTCACGAGTTGGAAGTTGGCAAACTTTTCTGTGTTGTAGTTATTGATCCTGTGTGTCTTTAAATGGCTTGGTAAAGTTAGAAAAAAATACTATGCCCTGACACCTGGTTTGGGCATGTACAAATGTACGTTTTGTACATATAGATAGAGGTAGATATACCTGTGATAGCCATCTGTTCTGCTGATGTCCTGCTGCTGAGATTTTTGCGGAATAGAAGCAGAAAGCATGAAGTTAGCTGAAAGAAATACTATGCTACACGGTGAAACTGGCCAAGGCCCTTACCCTGCTCCCAGCCAAGTTCCAATAGGATTGACATGGCCTTAGAACAAACAAAAACATTGCAGAGCTGGATTATTGATTTAAATAACTGTTAGCCATTAAGTTGGAATCCAAATGTGAATATTTACAAATAAGAAAGATGGCTATGGATTTTGCTGGAGCTTTTCTCTATTTAATAAAGTTCCCCTGAAAGTGGTATCTCAGAATGTTGTGTTTGGAGAGGGAAGTATGAAAGAGGAAAGAAAAGCTACTTTCTGGTACTTTTAAAACATTTCTGTTTTTCCTTGATTATGTTGTTCTGTAACAAAACAGTAGAAGCTAATTATGTCAAATTACAAATTAATCTGAAAGGTCTTGTGATATCTTTTAATATTAATCTAAATTTACATTAAATAGGAATTCATCCTTCAACATGTAATTTAAAGAAATAGAAAATATTTTCTTTTATTCTGTGCAAGGTGTATTTTCAGTATGCAGAATTCTCAATACATTAAAGCAAGATGGATATCAGCATGCTGTTTAAATTATTAAAATACATTTGTCTTTGTATTTTTGACAGCTTAATCAAAATAGTTAATTAATATTAATGTTAGTTAATAAGTTAATGTGGAGTAAAAAAACAGCTATGTAATGATAAAGAACTAAGCTCAGTTGAATTACCTGTTGGTTGCAATGAGCTAAGAACATATATACAGATGGCTAACAGGGATCCATTGATGGCAGTAATTTGCTTGTTGACTATACCCTGAGAGATTGAGGTGAAGTATGAAATAAAGGTTAAAAGGTGGATTGCTGCATGTTAATATGGCTGCTACAGACAGTACAGGTACTCTAGAGAACATTGCAGCGTGTACATCAATTTCTATTATATTCTAGCAATTGCAGTCAATATCTCATGGTTTTTAAATTGAATCTATTTATTTCTAAATATTTATTTTGAGATTTCTGTAAAGTCTCATAGAATAAATGTTAAATCCAAATAGAAGTTGCTTTTCAAGAAAACTTCCCCTGTCAAAAATCATAGGATATATTTAGCAAGTTAGCAGTCTCCTTTAGGACACTCATAAATGTAAGCTGTAATTTTAATTATTTTTTCTTTTCAGAGAGACAAAATTCATTTATTTCACAAAATCTCTGCTATCTCTTGGACTTTCAGATTAATGATACATCCATGCTCATAGTAAAACTATGAAGTGGAAATAGTATACTAAACTTCACCGCTTTGGCATGTGCAGTCCCATCTGTGTACTCTCCTATTGAACCAGAGTAGAAGAGAAAAGAAGTTGTCTGGACACCTTCATTCTGTCTTTTATTCTTGTGCTGAAATATCTTGATTACCATGGCTAAATAGAAAACTATCACTTTTGTATTTTGTTTTGAACAGGTTTTCAATTCAAGTTGCTGCAACAGCAGAGAATTGCCTTCTTACTTTATACCCATATTTGGCATTTCACGGCTCTGATCAACAAGTTATCTTGAGAAGCAGTAAGCAGTCAACATTCTACCTCTTCAAATTATGTTATGTCCAGTAGTATTATCAATGTTTTCAGTGTGATAACAGGGACGTTATCATCAAGATAGTATTTTTCCTCAATAATTACAAGGGGGTACTGCAATTAAATTTTTAAAACAGTTCAATAGCTTCTGTTTTCTTGTAGAAAATGAGGAAAACTTATATAAATGATTAGGTAATGTTTATTGAAAAATACTGGACAAACCTAAATCTTACAGAATGTTTAAAAGTATGAATAGAGAAAACAGTCCAAACAATAGAGAATAAATAAACATAATTTAAATTATATTGATAGAGAGTGATCCTCAATAATTCCTAGGACATCAATTGGATATATTTTGAAGAAAGCCCCACAATGTTATGATAAAATGCGATCATTATTTGCCTGTTGAGAATAGTTTTCAGGTTTTTTTAATTACTGCCCTTGAAGGCTGGAGAGCATAGTCATATTTTAAGGCCTAATAAACACCTGCGACCAGACACTAGAAATATTTTTATCTGCAATGTGACTCTACCTGCCTCTCTGTCTCTACATCTTTGCCTGTGTGTCCCCCCAAGCCCCATTTGCGCCCGCATACTGCCCTCCCCCTTTCTGCCTGCCTCAATGATCTGTAATCTCTTTCTTTATGTGTAGCTGTGCTTTTGGGAAGAGATTAGGATCGTTGTATAATTCAGGTTGGAAGGGATCTCTGGGGGTCATCTAGTTCAACCTTCTGCTGAAAGCAGGTTCAAATATGGGGTAAACTATTATATTTTTTTTAATAGTTGTTGGGATCTGTTATATTTTGATGAAATAGACAAGTTTTTCAGGTAAGCAAGTAATTCCTTAGGTCTGAAATAGAATTCAGAGTCTTCAAAGCTAAATCTAAGACTGCATTAACTTAAAGTAAGTGTGTTACTTGGACTATCTAAGAGAAAAGAGAGTTTGTACTTATGAAGTTGAAAAAGGGATTAGCAAGAAGACAATAATGATTTTTTTTACTTTTTTTTTTTTCATGGAGAAGATAGGTATAGGTACCACATCATTCATGGATCATAGCACAATTAAATGAAGACGGAAAAGGGGGAAAAGTGTTCTCTCCTTGTAAATGTGTGATTTTTTTTTTTTTTTTTTTAATTCTTCTTTTGTGACCAATAGATCATTTTTGCAAGCTTGTCTCTTGAAGATGCTTTGTTAGGTTTCCCTTGAAGATTAAGCCAAAAATGGAGTGATGTTTTTATATAACTGATCTCCCATTATTAATGGGATATTTCTGTCTTGTATTGATTGGTTATTGGTTTGTTCACACTATCAGTTTGCATCAGTTTTGAAGCAAGTCATTACCGCTAAATTATTTTATGTGGTTTTGTAGACTATTTTGGTGTAGAATGCTGTGTAATGTGACCAAACCATATCTGTACAACACAGTGGCTTTGAAAGCTATTCAGGAAGGCTTTGCTTCCACATATCTGACACTCTGCTCTTGTGTTATTTCCTCCAAACCATATGAATAACAGTGCCAGCAATCAAAAATTAATCATATGGAATTCTTCCTTCTTTTACTGATGTGTTCACTTCTCTAGAAACTACACTGGCTTCCTCTTCTACTCTTGTTCTGGAGACTGACATCAGAGATAGCTAGCAGAGGGTCCTCTAATCCTATCATAGGCCAACATGAGAATGTCAGAACATATGTTCTGACAGAACTGATGGATTGATAAAGCATACTTTTGAGTTTGGTTCATAAAATATGTGTTGTTGAGTCTGGAAGAGATTTATAATGGTATGCTGAGACTCATTACAGAGTTGTGATCAAAAATTCCTTAAGAATATTTTATTCATGACTTAGAATTCTTGAATTAGCACTGTTCTGATAAGTACTTTTCAGCAAGTGTGAAGACCCATCCTGTAATACATACAGTTAAGGGGAAAAAAACATGCAGGTAATTTTTTTTTGTCCCCGGTCTAATGACAAAAGTGAGATTTTCATCATGAGTCAAATGAGAACTGTTACTTGATTAATTGAAGCACAAAATAGAAAAATATAGAAGCAGATATCCGTTTATAAACTGTTAGAGCACAGACAATAAAATATGTTTTCCCAACTGCAGCTTGCAATCTTGTTTTATAGACAGTAAAGACTACAGTAGTGGAGAAGTTGTTCTGCATCCATGTTATACTCAACAATCACTTTCCCATAGTATTTCCTCAAGTTCCTTTGGTGCAACCACTGACTCGACCTATGAAGATTCTCAATCAGGTATAGTGCAACTGTTCACTTTAAATACTTTGACTCTTACAACTGCTTTTCAGCTTACTGCTTTAAAGACATGTGTTTCACATTTGTAAGCTTCGCCTGAAATGCTTCTGCACATATAGTCAATTAATATTGGGGAGGCTATCCTCTCCTGTGATACCAGGAGAAACCTGGCCTAGAGTATAGGAGCAGAAGAAACTCTCCTTCCTTCTAGCAGGCTAGGTGGAAAGGAAATCAGTCAAACTATTTAAAAAAAAACAAACAACAAAAAAACCCAAACCCAAAAAGCCAAAACCAACAACCCTCTCCCAAAAACCCCACCCCACAAAAAAACCAAACCAAAACAAAAAAAAAACAACCAGAAAATGTCAAGGTCCCATTTGCAATAACATGTCCATGGAGGAGCCAGCAGAAAAATAACTACTGAACGAACCTAAGGGATTAGTTGCTAAGAAGGGCATTGTTTCTGTAATCATGAACTAACCAATTGTATACACTCTGTAAATATACTATGTTCTGCAAAGGTCTAGTTGTACGCTCAGGTTAGACTTTCACATTTCTGTTGCATTTATGAAGTACTGTATAAAAACAACGATTGTCAGTGAGGCTTAGTTAAGGTGCTGTTCCATATGAACTAAGAGTAATAGATCTTCTGTAAGGTTGTCAGGTGACTAGTATCTGAGGCTGTTGACATCTCTCTTCTTTCAGCTGCTAGTTTTCTGACTCGGAAGTTAGAACAGCAGAATTTACTGCTGCTGTTTCATCACTGTTTAGGATTCTACTCTTGCAGATCTGCTGATGTTTGTGTGATCATTCTCTAAGGTGTTGCCAAGACAAATAGGGGTAGTTAAACAGATTAAATAGTACCAACATGATTCATTTTTAATGGAATGATGTAAGAAGAGTTCAAAAGAGCAACTCAGTTTCAGATCTGAAAAGTCAATAACCTCTGGCAAAGCTGGCAGTGACAAGATGGGGAAAGTAATCTTGTCAGCCAGCAGAACTGCACAAACTCAGATCTGACTGCATGATGATCTTACAAAGGATGAGTCTTTTTTCTCCATATTGTATTGTTTTTTCTTCTTAAACCCAAACAAGTTTGTTCTATTTTTAATTCACTAAAGCATTAGTTAGTTTTATTTTTGCATCATTTAATGAAACATTAAAACTGCAACTGTGGTATTAAAATACACCTTCAAGGATGGAATCATCTAAGTTATTTGTACTGTGAAGAAAAGTGTTCTTTGTTTTCTTAGTTATCTTTTATGCAATAATATTGTTGTTGATGTCATTAACAACTAGTAGTTGCTAAAATATATAATCTAAGTTTTGACTAGGTCACAAATGAGGAGAGAGAAGGCCTAACAGAGGGTAGAAAAGTCCCAAGTCTTATAGACTGGGATGTAGGCCTAGTTATACCTATACAATACCCGATAAACTGTTTGAACACAAGTCAGTTACTGAGCTATGCCATGTGATTGGGGTGGGGGACTAGCATTGACTAGCTGGTAAAGCTATACCTCCTAGAACTGTATGTAAGACTGTTTCTTTAAGATTACTGTCTGTGGTTTTGTAAGCCACGCCTGAATTTATTTTCTGATTGTGTAATAATTTTTTCTTTAAGTGAAATTAGATTCCACAAATATAATTTGTTCTGTTCCCAAGACATGTACATGTCACTCAAATTGTTTATTGCTGAAATAAGTTCATCATTTGTTGTCTGACAGTTTTTTGTTTTCTGAAAACAATTGTGTGTAAAAAATAATATTGTTTTTGTACTAGACAAAAATAAGGAAATAAGGAATCTTTCTGGATTTTTTTTGTGTATCATTCAGACTCAGATACTACTTTTGAAAGTGAGAGTGATGAAAAGACGAGTGAAGAAAGTGAAGCTGATAGTCAAAGTGATGGGAGAGAAAATAAATATGAATTATCATTTTTTCCTGATGAAGATAAAAAGGAGTACAACTTCTTTCAGAAAACCCTAACTGCTGTTAAGAATTGGTTCACTCTCTTTGGTTGGTCTAAAGGACAAAATCCCATTTCAATACCATATTCACTAAGACGGTAATTCATATCTGCTGAGAGCTAACTTATGTCTGCCTAATAAAATGTTAACGTATATACTGAAGTGTTTTGGATATGATCTGAGGAATATAAATACACTTTAATGCATAGTTGTATATTAAAATTGTATCATCTATGTGCTGTTTATATGAAAATGTCATTCAGGTGTTATTTTTCATTTTCTAAAATATATTTCCAACTATGGTGCTCTGATATATCATAATGCAGTGTATGTTAAATATGCAGTGCAGACTATATGTCACCCTCTTATCTGAAAGTGACTCTCCTCGCAGAATGAACACAGTTCTAGCAATTGTCCCTTCTTTGGTGGCATAAATAAGTGTTTTAACAATATGTCTTTTTTTTCCCCCACATACTCTGAAGATCAAGAAACAGATGGGAAAGCAAATTTCATAACCAACAGTCTTGCAAACACCCTGGAAATATATCAGTCTTAGTGGCATCACTTAGTTGATCTTATCTAGCTTGCTATGAAATAATGAAGAAGCCAATCTCCTGGGACACATACACATAGGCATTTATAAACATGATAGAAATCAAAGTTATGTTTGGCAGAAAGCCGTGACAAACACAAATTTATTTATGAAATATTTTACATATATTTATTAAATATTCTATACAGTTCAAAATTCTCACATTATTGTGAAAGTTCTGTAAAAAGGAAAAAGTGCTATAGTTTTCAACCTTCTTGCTGCTGTTTTTAGTTCATGGTTTATTACATTTATCATCATAATATATATAATGTTAGCTCATTTTGTGCATTTAAAAGAATAATATCGGAAGTCTTTTCTCTCTTAGTGATGTGTGTAAAGTCCAGATGACCTCTTCGCAAGAAAAAGTTTTTAAAGAAAACCTTGGCAAAGATACTAAGACTGTTTATGACATGTTATTCCATCTGAGTGGACAGTTGTTACCAGGCATTACATTGAGCCAGTCATTGCCCCTTGATCCAGTTGAACGAACTTTACAGCTCCACTGGCAACATTCTACATTGCTTGCCTTCCTTAAGTAAGTACATGTATGATAAAATATGCATGCATGCATGCATCTTTTCTTTCCACTTTTTTTATAAGCATAGTTCAAACATAATTCCAACTGAACAATATAGAGTAGGTTTAGGGTTTCCTTTGTACTGTATCTTTTATGATCTAAGATTTATGTTTTATAAACTTTAATTGATTTTTACCAAGGTTATCCTCTGCAGTTTACGCTAACTGAGGCATCATTTGGTAGGGTTATGTCCAACACAGGAATTCTACAGGAACTCTGCTCCCTAAATTACAAAAGAAGATGACTCTCAACTTCATTCCTTAGACAGACTCAGTCGATAGTCAGATCAGGTTTGTCATTAATGATCTTACTATTCCACTGATGCTCTTTGTCCTCTAATTATTGGCTTTAGCAAAAATTTTGTAGACTTTGTAATCTATTAGTCTTTCATATTAACAATATGCCAAGAAATGGAAGCACTACTTCTGCTGCTGAACAGATTTAGTTATTAGCTACCTTCACTGATGATCTTATCTTGTCACATAATATGGAACGATTGTCAAAGATGGTGCAAATCGAAAAAGGTTAATAAATTCTTCTTCATCCTTCTTGGCTGTCGCTCTTGTGCAACAGAGAAGAAAATTAACTTCAGAGAAAGTCTAATGTCATGAGATCCTTAGAGATCATCAGAAGCCCTGAAACACAGCATCTCTGCTTCTTTTTAGCATCCTCACCTAGTGTTCAAAAGGGTGTAAAGCCATTTAAAAACTGTCATTTACATACTGTTCTAAATAGAAGCTTTTCATCTGAGAATAATGGACAGTGATACAGCTGTATCTGAACTCATAATGAGACCAATGCACACTGCTCCAACAGCACTGGACCTTTACTTGCAACTTTTGTCCATGCCATTTTCATTAAAATGAGGCAGAATAGCATTCTTCTATGCATCATAAATAATATAGTGGCAGATGATTTGGAGGAGCCTTTGAAGCAGTGGCGAAATATCCATTCATCCAATTTCGACATTCATTCTGATGTTGAAGGTAATACTCTGCACAACTCCTAGGAGAGCAGTCAAGAATAACTTCAAGACATGCTTCCTCTTTGGAACCCTGTTACCCTTGTTAACAGTTAAGTTTCATTAATCCTTGTCTAGGCAGCTGGATTGATTCCGCTCAGTTCCTATGAAGAGACACACAAATGTCTAACTATTTTTCAAGGGTGGAGCTGATGTACCTTTCAGAGCCTTTCACCCTTCAGTGTGGGATTTTACAGCCCTAACTCAAATTAACATAGACTTTAATTTTGGTCTTTTAGGACTGATATTTATTCTGCCTAGCTTCAACTGTTTTAATGTCTCTTCTGTAACTCATTGTGTGACGGATGAGGTCAGTACAAAGGAACCAAAATAACATCTTTTCTCATTGGATGATAGTGACACCCACTATCAGTCAGCCTCCAAGTTTGAGCATGCCACCCAATATCTTTGAGTATACCAGAAAGCCTTCTTGGTTGTTATCAGCTCTGGGAAACACTTATTTTTTTCTGATTGTGTCAGGTGGCTTGGGCAGACAAGGTAAATTCTTAGCACTTTTTGAATTTGGATAGAGTGGTGTGTATGCTGTGAAGCTGGGGGTATACTTTTTACTATGATCCGGTTTACTGAGTTATTGCATCTGAGAGAGAGAGAGAATGTCTCTAACTTATTTATCTCAAGTTTGTTTATTGTAAAATGCAAATGAAAACATTTATTCGTAACATTGAAAATGAACAACACAAGTGGAAATATTTCTTCAAGATATAGGTGAAGACATGAAAGAATGTCATCAATCTACTTACCTTAAGGTTGTACCAGAAAGGTCTTCCGAAATACCTTATTTTGTTTATATTCTGGCAGCTTCTGGCAAGGAGGCAGTCAGGTTTCTGTCCTTTTGCATACCTTGTGCTTGAAGTTACTCCTAATAAAGTCTGTTCAGGAGATCCATCAAAATATTAATTCACAGAAGTTTCCTTAACTGGGATACTTTTGGAGCACTCCTAGATAGGGTCAAAATTTTCTCCTGGTGGAACCTGATGGCTTTTATGTCCAGTCTTCCCATGGATATTTTCCAGGGAATCTAGGTGTCTTGAAACTAGCATACAATATGTTAGTTGCATACTTTAAAATGATGATGAGTTTTGGGGTAAGTGGATCCCAACCCCTTTTGCTAAGCATAACAGCAATTATAAAGAAACACTTAAGTGTTTCTAAGGTAGTTTCTTGGGTAATGTAGAAAGCTATTTAATAGCTAAATTTTAATAAAAGCCTTCAGTCTTACTGAGTTTTGTCTGTTAACTCACTGACATATTTAGAGCAGAATTGGAGCACCAGCCAGTTGGTCAAGGCTAAGTTCAGTGCCTCCGTACAGAGATACATTGATTACTGATGATTGGAAATGAAGTAGTAATCCATAACAACCCTAGCAAAATGATACAGGTTGCCATAGAAAAACAGTTCTAGCTGGACTCCTGTACTTGTATGTATTTAAGAGTCTCTGTGGCGCAATTGGTTAGCTCGTTCAGCTGTTAACCGAAAGGTTGGTGGTGCGAGCCCACCCAGCGACGGGTTCCCCTTTATCTGGGGAACTACAGGCCTGTCGGCCTGACCTCGGTGTCACGGAAGGTCATGGAGCAGATCTTCTTGAGTGCCATTACACAGCATGTGTGGGACAAGCAGCGGATTAGGCTCAGCCAGTATGGATTTATGAAAGCGAGGTCCTGCTTGACTAACTTGATCTCCTTCTATGATAAGGTGACCCACTTAGTGGATGAGGGGAAGGCTGTGGAAGTTGCCTACTTGGACTTTAGTAAGGCCTTTGACGCTGTCTCCCACAGCATTCTCCTGGAGAAACTGGCTGCACACGGCTTGGATAAGCGCACTATACGCTGGGTTAAAAACTGGCTGGATGGCCGAGCCCAGAGAGTGGTGGTGAATGGAGTCAAATCCAGTTGGTGGCTGGTCATGAGTGGTGTTCCCCAGGGCTCAGTACTGGGGCAAGTCCTGTTCAATATCTTTATTGGTGATCTGGATGAGGAGATTGAGTGCACCCTCAGGAATTTTGCAGATGATACCAAGTTGGGTGGAAGATGTACAGGTGTGGGGAGGAGTGGCTGGAGAGCTGCCTGGCAGAAAAGGACCTGGGGGTGTTGGTTAACAGCCGGCTGAATATGAGCCAGCAGTGTGCTCAGGTGGCCAGGAAGGCCAATAGCATGCTGGCTTGTATCAGGAACAGTGTGGCCAGCAGGACCAGGGAGGTGATAGTGCCCCTGTGCTCAGCACTGTTGAGGCTGCACCTCGAGTACTGTGTTCAGTTTTGGGCCCCTCACTGCAAGAAGGACATTGAGGTGCTGGAGCGTGTCCAGAGAAGGGCAACGAAGCTGGTGAAGGGTGTAGAGCACAAGTCTTATGAGGAGTGGCTGCGGGAGCTGGGGTTGTTTAGTCTCGAGAAGAGGAGGCTGAGGAGAGACCTTATTGCTCTGTACAACTACCTGAAAGGAGGTTGTAGAGAAGTGGGGATCGGTCTCTTCTGCCGAGTAACAAGTGATAGGATGAGAGGAAACGGCCTCAAGTTGTGCCAGGGGAAGTTTAGGTTGGATATTAGAAAAAACTTCTTCAAAGAAAGGGTAGTCAGGCATCGGAACAAGCTGCCCAAGGAAGTGGTTTAAATCCCTGGAGGTATTTGAAAGATAGGTAGACGTGGTGCTCGAGGACATGGTTTAGTGGTGGACTTGGCAGTGTTAGGATAATGGTTGGACTCGATCTTAAGAGTCTCTTCCAACCTTAACAATTCTATGATTCTATGATTTGATACTAGATGATGAAATTGGTGCTCGGTATGTTCTTAGCATTACCACATGCTGTTAGTTTTTGCCCCTTCTAGTTTGTGTGAATCCTATCAGATTTCTTCATTGTTCCTGAATTATGGATATTCTTTTCCTACTTGTGCATTTTAGGATCACCTAGAATATTTGCATTTCTTCACAGGTTATTATTTAAGAGTGTTTATAGATCATAGTCCAGGAATGTCTGATATCTGCACTGCTGGCATGACTGTATGTAATGATTGTAAGACATCCAGAGCCAGCCTAGATATGAGTAATTCATCTGTGATCTGCTACCCCTGCATGTTCATTGTGATTTGTGGAAAGTGCAAATTCCCTCCTGAAAAAGCCCAGGAGAGCACTCTGAAAATAGAAACATACAGTTCTCAGCTTTCTTCCTCCAATCACTACTTTCTGGTCAGCGTGGTTCAAATAAAGCATAATTCGTCTTTCAAATTTTCCACTTGCTAAAGCAGGTAGATGTTTTTCACTGTTTCAAGCAACATTCCAAGTATCAGTTTTATTTTCTTTCCCTCAAAAGGTTTCTTTGGTACATTACCACAGCAGTCAAGGAAAACTTTGGGTATTTTACAATAAAACTAACTAATTTGTTGCAAGCTGTGTGTCTTGAGGAAAAACATCTTAACAGCATGAAAATACTGATCTTGGAGAACTGGCATCATATTAAATATTGATCTTAATGAGGAGGAATTTTTTTAAGGCAGTGTTCCTCAATAACAAAATGCAATGATTTATGAGAACATTCAGTCATATAGAACCCATCTTTACTATGATGACATGTAACATTGTTATATAGCTTTTCTGAGGATCAGATTTGTATATTACACCTATTCCCACATATCTACCAAATATAAACACTGAAAGAAAAGTCTGACACCTGAAAAGATGAATGTTGTATAGCTTTCTTCTTTTATAATTTGGGAAGAACTGAAGTTTTAAAGGGATTTCATGGGACAGAGTCTATGATTTAATGGAAAATGGGAATTTCAGACATGGTGAGTTTTAGAACCAGACTACTAACTTGATGCTATTTTGGGTCCTTGATTAAAATATTTGTGTTTTAAAAAACATGGTAGATAACTGTATGAAACATGAAATTTCAATAATCTGAGAAGATAATGTCACTATGTAACATATGGAGACAAAAAATGTGCTGTTACCAGCAAAATATAATTCTGTGGGAAGAGAAGTAAGTTGTCATGATCCTAATTTCAAACTGTGATGTATGAATTTTTATGTACAAAATAAATTGAATTTGGACTGTATGGTACTGGAAAAGTGTCATCACTTCATTTGAATGAGAGACTGGGTATATAAAAAGAAAAGCTCATCTGATTATTATTCACATTAGCCATGTTAAAAACACAGAGAACAATGTAAATCTAGACATGCTAGGATAATCTTTGTGACCTAAAAGTCAGGAAACTTTTCTGTTCCCCTGAGAAAAATAAACTTAAGAATTCTTCATTATTTTCCCTTCTTTCCAGAAACATTTGTTTTAAACTGTGTCATCTGAGATAAAGAATAGTCTTTCTTCACTTGGAAGTTAGGTTTTTTTGGTGTTCAGTCTAATGAAGTTGCCTTTTGTTACTGCAATTACTTTTCCTATTGCATGTATTAGTCGCTTGAGAGCAGATGGCAGGTCAGTTTAACAATTAAGAGTTTTGAAATACCTTTGCTTACACTCATAAGACTTCCAATATCAGACCTGCAGACAGATAAAAGCATCATCAAGTTTTAATTCTACTAATGTTATGTAACGCTGGTCCTTTGGCTTTCACATGGAAATGGATATTATGTGTTTTGGTGCTTTGTGCTATAATAAATCCTATATGGAGGAGCAATTCTCATAAAGAAGCCAGTCTGTCCAGAGTTGTATGTGCTTTCAGCATTTAGTTGTAGGCATAGTAATTAAACATGGACTTCATAAATAGAAGCTATCTAAAGCAATTCATAGAACTAGATCATTAGTCCAAAGTGTACTCAGATAGAACTCAGATGAGCTTACACATAGGTTGAGCAAGTTGAAAAACTTGGACTGCTCTTAAGAATTATCTTGCTTAACCTATTAACTTTTCCTGCTTTATGATTGCAGAAGCCAAGGAGCATATCTTCCTCATATTATGCCAGAATTTCTGCTTGAACCTGATGATTATAAGAAATGGATTAAAGTGCAAACTGTACCTACAAAGGTAGTTTTTGGGTTTTTTTTCTTTGTTTTGTTTCATTTTTTTCATCTTTTTTTTAACAAAGACCACGTGCTTAGTGTCAGTCCTTTGAAGACTAACGGAAGTCCTCTGTGGACCATAAGTATTCTTACTGGTGTCTGTTTTGGATTGCATAAATCTAAGCATGTGCATGAGATTGAACAGAAATTGAAACTGACACCAACATTTACACGCACCTCCCCCAGTTTTTGTATTCTGTTCCTTCTGATACCACTGATACCTATGGTTAATTTCCAACAGATATGCTTTCTCAAAGTAGAATTAATTTTACTGCTTTCTAATGATGTTACTATTTTTTAGAAAATATTCTGCGTGTTGCCTCCCTGTCCTGATTGCAGCTTTCAACTCCTGTCAATTCTGTATGGTGCTTCTTATTCCTGAGATAACAGCAAACTGTAAATGATTCTAATGCTGATCACTATTGCACTGTAGTAGACGTTATCAGTAATTTATACCATTGATTCATTATTGTACTCTTGTGAATTTTCTATCCAAACTGCTGAAATTAATATTGGAAAAAAAAATCCCATTCCTTTATGTGAAGGGTCACACGGCTGAGTTGAAAAAACGAGATGTGAAAAACTCAGACTTATTTAGTGACAAGCATCTATTCATTATGGAGGACAGCATATTTGAGACAATGAGCAAACGAGCTTGGACAGATGTGCTACTGCAGGTATACAAGGTAAACTGTAGATACATTTACTGCTTAAATTCTGAAGAACTGGTGGCAAAAACCTTTGTTTTGAGCAAGATCTGTGGTATACTCCAGTTTTTTTTTTTCCCCCGAACAGATCTTTAGCACTAAATACTTTTAAGTATTTTATTTCTCACTAACAGAGAAGAAAAAAAAAGAGTGAGAACATTTTCTTAGTTCAGAAACTTTAGCAGTGTGTTAATACATTTCAATTAGGAAATGCTATGTTAAAACAGTCTGCATTTTGTAAGAGTAAATGTTATAGAAATCTCTTCTTACAAATAGAGAAAACACTTCCATGCTTTTTTATTGCCCTGGTTGAAACACTTTTCACTGGAAATACTTAGTTGACTAGACGTATACCCAACCATTGTATTTATTATCTTGTATTAGAATGGAGTTTTTAAACAGGTAAGCATTTTAATAATACCTATTCCTTTTAAGATGTAATGAACTTGGTCAGTATGGACTTCTCAAATTTTATTAAATTTTATTTTTACTGATGTTAGATAAACATTTTTGATGTCTAAACCATGTTTTCCAAAGTAAATCTGATGTACTCACCAATGATCAGTAATGTTTGTATGCCTAAAAAGAAATATTTACTTATTTCTATTCAAAGGGATGGAAAATAAACAAAAAATATAAATATTATCTGGGCTTCCCACTACAAGAAAGACATGGATATACTGGAGTGTGACTCCAGTGAAGGGTCCTAAAGATGATTTAGGGGACTGGAGCATCTGTCATACAGGGAGAGACTGAGAGAGCTGAGACTGTTCAGCCAGGAGAAGAGAAGGTTCAAGGGGGTCTTATCAATGTGTGTGTAAATACCTGATGGGAGGCTGTGAAGAAGACAGCACCAGAGTCTTCTCGGTAGTGCCCAGTGACATGGTGAGGAGCAGTAGGCACAAACTGAAATACAGGAAATCCCATTTAAATATGATTAAAAAAGCTTTTACTGTGAGGGTGGTCACACACTGGAACAAGTTGCCCAGAGGGGTTGTGGAGTTTCCATCCTTGGAGATATCCAAAACCCAACTGAACATGATCCTTTCAACCCACTCTAGCTGATTCTGCTTTGAGCAGGAGGTTTGGACTAGGCAGTCTTCAGAGGTGCCTTTTAACCTTAACTATTCTGTAATTACATGATTATTTACTGAAAAAAATAATAAAGTATGACAAAAATTATGTTAAAGAAAGTATGAAACAAAGATATGGAGTTGATCTAAAATAAAAAAATGAGGAAAATAGCTGAGAGAGTAACAGACAACAAACAGTATGTACACATGGGCTGAGACAAATGGCCCTAGGACTCATGGGAACATGGATGTGGAAAAATGCAATCATAGTGATCAGAAAGCAAGTCACTTTGCTATTTTTTTCAATTTGTTGAATTATTCATAGCTACACGACAGACTATCACAGAGCAGAAACCCCCCAATATTAATAGTATGCATGTGTGTTATTTTGTTTTGGTTTTGATTATTTTTTTTCCTGATGAGATGAAACTCTATAAAAGTAGGTAACTTGAAATGGCTTGATTCAATCAGATATTGTACTGGGTTTACGTGGCAAGGTTTTGGTAGCAAGGGGCTACAGAGGTGGCTTCTCTGAGAAGATGCCAGAAGCTGCCTCCATGTCCGACAGAGCCAATGCCAGCTGGATCCAAGATGGACCCACCGCTGGCCAAGGCTGAGCCAATCAGTGATGGTGGTAGCACCAGCCAAGGTCAACCCACCAAAGGTATATTGGGAAATATACTTTAAACATTCACATGTGTACTATCAAAAAGTGTCAGTTATTAGAAGTTATGTCTTTTGTTTTGACAAGATATTATTGATGTCTAGGTAAAAGAGAAGTTAACTTCAGTTTTGATCAAATTATTAATAATTGCATTTTGCCACTTAAGAAAATTTCTAGTACTTCTTACAGTAACAGTTTAAAGACATCTTAAAACCAAAAATAAAAAATGAATTTTTAATTTGATAATTTCTGTAGTATATCATTAACTTTATTTTTTTGTGTTGTGCAATCTTTTAAAATTAACTTTCTAGCCTTTCCAATATCTGAGAGCAAAACATCATTATGAATTTACACTAATGTAGGTGTGGGCTACTACTGAGAGAACATGTCTTAAATGGTGGGGAAAACCATGTTTTCCTGGCTACATTTTTGTGCCCCTTTCCTTATGTTGTCCTGTAGTCCTCCTTCAAATTTCTTTTTCTATGTTGTCAATTCAGTTGGGGGAAAAAAAAAATCAAAGGTATTGTGTAGGATTTTTATTTTAATGTCGTTATATTTCTTATATATTTTATATACATATGTTTATATATATTTTTAAACGTAACATTTATGCAAGACTTAATCAAGGACCTCTGAGTACCAAGAATTTTGTTGTAGACATTATAAAGTTTATTTTTTCAGGAGAAATAGTCAGTGTAATTTGGGACCTCAATGAGCAGGTGGGTCATGAAAGATACTGTTTCAAGACTGTATACGGATTGCATTGGAGATCAGTATAGTATTTCAGTAATTAGTGCTTTGGCTAGAATATACGCAGTAATTCTTGGAATCCAGATGGGTCCAGTGGTTTCATCCACTTCATCAAAACTTGGAAAAAAGTTGGAAACAAAAAATATTTAGAATCATAGAATATCTCAAATTGGAAGGGACCCATAAGGATCGTCAAGTCCAACTCCCTACTCCTCGCAGGACTACCTAAAACTAAACCATATGACTACAAGCGTCTTCCAGATGCTCCTTGAACTCTGACAGGATTGGTGCTATGACCACTTCTGTGGGCAGCCTGTTCCAGTCACCGACCACCCTCTCAGTGAAGAACCTTTTCTTAATGTCCAATCTGAACTTTCCCTGATGCAGCTTCATTCCATTTCCTCATGTCCTATCACTGGTGACGAGAGAGAGGAGATCAGCATCTCCTCCTCTGCTGGCCCCCCTTGAGGAAGTGGTAGACTGTGATGAGGTTACCCCTCAGCCTTCTCTTCTCCAAGCTGAACAAACCGTGACCTCAGCCACTCCTCCTAAGTCTGGCCTTTCACCATCTTGGTTGCCCTCTGCTGGACACACTCTACTAATTTGATGTTCTTCTATTGAAGCACCCAAAACTGCACAGAGCGCTGAAGGTGGGGCCGCACCAGTGCAGTGTGGAGTGGGACAATCGCCTCCCTCGACTGGATAGCTGTGCTGTGCTTGATGGACTCCAGGACATGGCTGGCCCTTTTGGCTGCCAGGGCATACTGTTGACTCACGTTCAACTTGCCATCAACCCAACCCCCCAAATCTCTTTCTGTGGGGCTTCTCTCCAGCCTCTCGTCCCCCAATTTGTATGTATAAGTAGGATTACCCTGTCCCAAGTGCAGAATCTGGCACTTGCTCTTGTTAAATTTCATATGGTGGGTGATTGCCCAGCTCTCTAGTCTATTGAGATCTTTTCGTAAGGCCTCTCTACGCTTGAGAGTGTCCACAGCTCCTCCTAATTTAGCATCATCGGCAAACTTAATGTACATTCAATTCCTGTGTCTAGATGATTTATACAATCTTTGAAGAACACTGGCCCTAAAATTGAACCCAGGGGAACCCCAATGGTGACTGGCTGCCTGCCAGCCTGATGTAACCCCGTTTACTATAACTCTTTGAGCACGACCCATCAGCCAATCGTTCATGCATCCATCGTATTATGGACTTGTCTAGCTGTATGCTGGACATTTTGTCCAAAAGAATACTGTGAGAGATAGTATCCAAAAGCTTTGCTAAAATCCAAAACCACCACATCTACTGGCTTTCCTTCGTCAACTAGATGGGTGACCTTGTCATAAATGGAAATTAAGTTGGTTAAGCAGGACTTTCTCCTTGTGAACCTGTGCTGGCTATGACCTATGACTGCATTGTCTCTCAAGTGTTTTTCAATAACTCCCAGAATAACCTTCTCCATAATTTTACCAGACACTGAAGTGAGATTGACAGGCCTGTAATTACCAGGGTCTTCCTTCTTACCCTTCTTGAAAATTGGGACAACATTCACCAGCTTCCAGTCGACTGGGACCTCTTCAGACTCCCAAGACCATTTAGATCCTTCAGTTTGCATTTTGTTTAAGGAAGCAAAGGAATTCCCTAAAACTTCAGCAAATCTATTCTCTTGTGTGTTATACACTTATGCTAATGTGTAATCTCTTAAACCTTTTCTAAATTAGAAAACCTTTTAAGTTTGAAGTGTTTGTTTTTATCATCCAACTTGAAATTGTTCTTTTTACAGTTCATGCTTAAAAACACTTTCTCTAATTTCAGGTGTTTGTTCTTCCACGTGTTTCTTCACGTAATATCACTGATCTGTTCAGCTTCGAAAGTGTGCAGAGCATGCCAAGAATAAAATCAGAACCTTTATCCAGTAATATATATTCTCCATATGAACGAACCATCCTCAACTGGTTGAATAAACATTATGAGAAGAATCGAAAAACAGTGTGGAAAGATTGTCAAAAAGGTGAAATAATTCTTTTGCTATACTCTTCCTTCTAATACTCCTTTTGTAGACTTTTAAAATTGTTATTCACAGAGATATTGTGACAACTTGCCACTGAAAGTATTTTCTGGGGAAGAAGTTATTGCCTATCCATACATATTTCCTTTCCTTGTGTTTCTGTGTTCCAAGATCAGCATCTTTTGACTAGCGCTGTGCATGAAATATCTTCTGTGTTCTGCATGTTCTTATAGTTTCTAACTAGGCATAAAGGGTGAAGTGTGATGAACCTTCTCACTTTCTTCTTTCCCTTAATGATCTTGGGAAGGAAGTGCTAACAGTAATCACTTTCTCTTCACTTTCCTGTCTACAGTCACATGCAGTTGTTAGCACTTGTGCTTATAGTGGTGTCTTTGAGAGCTAGCTTTTCAAAATTTTTAGAATAATTTTTGTATTGCCTTTACTCTAATGCCATTTAGGAAGGTAACGGAGACAAAGATTCCAGGTTATAAATCTTGCCCTACTTGCAAGGTCAGTTTGACACCTCATGATCACTTGAGTAAGGTCAGACAAAATGACCTGTTCTATTTAAGACTGACCTAGGCAGTTCTGGTACTCAAATCTGATAAACTGTTCAACCAGTAGTAATTATTATTTCCATTTCCTTGTACGATTTCTCTTTTGCTTCTTGACCCTAACTTCATCATCTCTTTCAGCATTAATTTTGGATGGGTAGTTAACACCAAGAAAGGGCAGTCTGATGATGATCAGGGAAGAGCTCCAGAAGAATGGCTCATAAGCCACATATGGAAAAGATTGTCTAGTGTCATTTTTGCCTTGAGTGATTTCTGACCTGTCTGAATTATGAATAATCTATTTGCATATCATCTTTCATAAGTCTTATTTGGGTGTATTCTCTACCTTGCATATGCTTTGAATATCCCAATGCTTTTCTCATTTTATCTGTTTAGAAGCAAATTATACTAGATATTCTCAAATATGTTGAATAATTCTGCTGATAAGATTGAACGGTCAGTCTATACCCCCGGCATCCAATAGAAATAGATTTCTAGCTGTCAACTCATAGTTTGAGTCTGATCTTATGATTAACTCAGGGAGCTTCCCTAGCTAAAGTAACATGCCCTACAGTAAGTAGGTGTATTTGCAATGTATTATTTTTTTATTACTTGTGTCTAGTGCCTGCTTTAATGGAGCTGTCTTACAGTTGCAAGCACTCTGCTCTGCTGGGTGTTGAGTCCCGTGTGTACAGGTGACAATTTGCAGAGAGAATGGCTACCTACCTGGCCAGTGTTGTGGCTCACCATAAATGCTGCATGTATATATTCCTCCACCGCACTGTCCATTCTTTTTTGTAGATTCTAGTAATACCTATATGTTGAGGCATGGCTAGCCTTGTTCTGGCCTGTGGGAACTTGGTGGGGAGAATATGAATGTCAAAATGCATCTTATTTAACATCAAACTTTTACTTGAGTTATAACGTCTAAAGATGAGTGGAGTGAATCTGAACCATAAAGTGCAGATCTAGTGGATACTACTGGGCAAAACCCCCAAATGTGTCAGTCCAAGTGGAATATCTACTGATGATGCATTTTAAGGAGCCAGTTATTGAAAGTGTTGTTCTGGTTGCCTAAGAGTAGGTAATAAATTAGAATATTAGAATGAGTTTGGTTTTTTAATGAGTTGTCATATAGTTATGAGCAATTGTAAAGTAGGTTTTTTTACAATTATTTAGTTCTAAAGGCTCCCAAATTGGCACCCAAAAAGAACAATTTAATTACAATATTGGGGTTCTCAGAAAATAATAATAACTTCTATTAAATCTTGCTAATAACTCAGTAGGTTAGTATATTCATTTGCACAAACCTGGTTGCAGATTTGGCTCTGGGTCACAGGTGAAGATGAATTTTGTAGTTACTGCCAGGGGACATTGATCTGCATTACAGTTCTCTCTTACAATTTCACTTAATTATACTTTTCTGCTTTCAGAGAAGTGCAAGATTGGTATGAGAAGGCAGAGAATATATATGCTTTCTGTGTGTGGGAAGTTACAGATACTGCCTTGCTGTATTGACTTGTATATAGCTTTTTTCGTTCATGAGTTCTATATTCTGTTTGCTAGAGGACAACAGAAATAGCTTGGTGTATGCTCATGAGCATGCCCTTTTCTTTTGCTTCTATTTCCATTTCTCCCACTAATCTACATAAATGAGCATTACTAAAGTTACAATAATTAAAAAAAAAAAGAGAAAATTTTGACAAATTATGAAATTCATAGTCTTAATCTTGTACCGCTGCATTATAAAACTTCTTAACTGTGTGATCTTATACTGTTTTGTTCCACAGAGGATCTGCCTTAGTATCTCCCTGAATCCTCCATTCTAGCCTTCCCTTTCCTCTTACTTTTTTGCTTTTACTGCCTCAAGATGAATTGGTGTCTGCTATTGTGCTGTTCTTTCTGCTAAATGGGGCAGAAGATCTAATGACAAAGGACACAGAAAAGACAGCAGTACTCAATGCCTTTGCCTTGTCTTTACTGATAAGACTGGCACTGAGCAATCACAGGCCCTCGAGATGAGAGGGAAAGCCTGGAGCAAGGAAGACTTAGTCTTGGTGGAGGAGGATCAGATTAGGGAGCACTTAACAAATTGGACAAACACAAGTCCATGGGACCCAATGGGATGCACCAACAAGTCCTGAGGGAGCTGGCCAATGTCATTGTGAGGCCACATTGGGTAATCTTGGAGAGGTCAGGACAATCAGGGGGAAGTTTGGAAGAAGTTTGGAATAAAGCAAATGTCATTCCTATCTGGAAGAAGGATGATCTGGGGAGCTACAGGCCAGGCAGCCTCATCTTGTTTCTTGGGATGGTGACGGAGTAAATAATCTTGGAAACCATTTCCAAACATATGAAGGGCAAGAAATTGTTTGCGAGTAGCCAGCATGAATTTACAAAGGGAAAATCATGCTTGACCAACCTGATTGCCTTCCACAATAACATGACTAGCTCAGTGGACAGGGGGAAAGCAGTGGATGTTGTTTATCTCAATTTTGGCAAGGCTTTCAACAGCCTCCCATAACATCCTCATAAACAAAGTGGTGAAGTACAGGCTAGATAAGAGGACAGTGAGGTGTCCTGAAATTAGGCTGAACTGCCAGGCTCAAAGGGTCAAAAAAACCCCCAACAGGTTAGGGGCACAAAGTCCAGCTGGAGGCTGGTCACCAGTAATGTACCTCAGGGGTATTAGACTGAGTTTGGTTTTTAAGATCATATACTGGATAAGAACTTATATATCTCAGCAGATTTAATATTTTGATATACTGTTGGTCCTTTAAATTTTATGATGTTAAGGTTAATCATCAAATTTATACTTAGATATTGTGACATTTTTAATCCTGTTAGACTTAAATTAAACATTTAAACAGGCTTTTCCAGGGGAACAGTTAAAAGAGTCCTAAGGAAATACATCAGTCGAAGTATAGTAAATGTTCATACAACCCAAATGAAAGTCCCAAATATCCTCATTTTTGTAAGAGTTTTTGTTGCTACTATTGGCTTAATATCACTAATTTTAAGAGAAGGATTAGTTCTTTTATTCTTGCTACAGTGCGAATCAGAGAGCAATTACCACTTTTTGCTTAACATTTATGCTCTTGCATATTATCGTCCAAACACTCTGCTTTGAATAAAGAATTAGCCCCGATGAGCAATGTCTTGACCATGGAGCTGCTTTCAGCTCAAACTAGTCTGTTGGGTGATCCATTCCTATACATAAATGAAGATCTATCCAGGCCACATTTCTCGGTCTTTCCTTTGATACCTAAGCTACTTAAAGTGAAATGTGATAGTGAGCCAAGCCTAAGCTGCTGCAGCACAGAAAGGTTTTAAATATACATCTTTATTACTTCCTTGTTGACGATAACTATGTCATTCATCAGAACTCTTTTCTTGCAAGAATTAAGATCTCAGTAGCTTAGAGAGAACACTAGCAAAGAGTTTACTATCTCCACATCTTCTGCCCTTACTGCTACTAAAAAAATAAATGTTTTAAAAGCAGCTTGGCATATGTTTTGGGAGGGGAGGCTTGTAATAAGCCTTATTGACCATAAAATGGAAAGCAGCGTTGAAACTTGAGACCAAATGCTGTAAAACTGCAAAATGCAACTTTGCCTATTCTGCTGAGACCTTAATTATACATGAAATATAAGATTCGGTGCCCACTTAAGGCATTATATGGGCAATAGTAATGATAGGAGAGGAAGCATGAATTACTGGAGTGTAATAAGTTTTCAGTTTACCTTCTACTATTCCTTATCTTCACATTTATTTTCAACATTGCTCTCTGAAAGTCTAACTATTAATAGTATGAAAAAATAAGAGTCTGGAAAAACCCTTAAAAAGTTGCTAGCGTATTGGAATGCCATAATTCAAAACCTGTACTTCCTAAACAGAAGAAAATTTTGCAAATTAGTGAATTAAATTGCCACCTGAGAAGCTGTATGTCTTCCTTATTAATTATGATTCTTGCTGTGGTGAAAAAGATAAATTATGTTTTGGGAAATAAAGGATTTTCTTGAATGTATCTCAGGAAGATCTTGAAAAGAGTAGATAATTCTACATTTAATATAAAATTATTAGAGAATATGACAGCCAGTAAATGGAACAGTATCGAACAATCAGCCTAAGTCTGAGATGTAAGAGCTGTCTCCAAAGTAGTTACATTTTCGTTTTACTGGAAAATTTGCTTAGAGTGGAAATTCTGCTTAAGAGGAAAGAGAAGTGCTAATCCAGTGCCAATGTAGGTTTGTCTGACAATGTTAGGCATAGCAGCATTTCTCAAGATTCTTACTCTCAAATAGGAAAGTTTTTGGTTTTGATGCATTTTATTCATTTCATGTCACTGTAAGTGAGGTAGTTTTTTCTATATCAATTTAGCATGGCATCTGCAGTAAAAAGGTTGAGGAAGGAGAGATTTTAGTGTGAGATGACATGTCTTCACAAAAC